CGATCGCCCGAATTTTCTTTTTTAAGTTATTACGATTACAGGTGGTATGAAGTCTGTTAAAAACATTAACATATTCCAAAAACCAAGAATTTTTTACTACAAGTAAATAAACTTTAAGGAAGGGAAGTGTTTTTCTTGATATTTTAAGGAAGGGAAGGCAAGTGTGCACGTGTGAGGAAGAGTGAAGTTACTATATTGAAAAAGCTTCTTAAGAAATTGTATTGAGAACAAGAACTCAAACACAGCAAAGACTGCAGTTTTTATGATGAAACTTAAGATAGGCCTACATATTAATGGTAATTACATATACTTTGTTTGGGGAGGACATTAACTTTGATATATCTGTTTCTAGAATACATGGAAAAAGTCTGAAGACCAGATTGGAAAACACAATCAAAGATGTTGAAGAACAAAATGGTTTTGGGGCAGAAATATTTTGCCTACGTCAAATAATAGATAAAAGGCTAGCACATAATCTAGAGACACATATGGTCTTCATAGATCTCACAAAAGCCTATGACAATATTCTATTAGAAAAATTATGGGAAGTTTTTAGACATCAAAACATAAAGGTGGAAGGTGGATGTGCAGAAGGAGTACAACATAGGATCTTTCAAGGGACAGTTGAGTAATGTTTTGTAAAGCCAAAAAATAACAAGCAAGACAAAGATAAGAAAGTACAAATTGCTGGTTGAAAGCATATCTACATATGCTTCAGATGTTTGGGTTTTAAGTCAGAGTGAAGAACAAAAATTAAAATTAATGTATATTCACTTTTGGAGACACTGTTGTGGCCATACATTACTGGATAAAGTACACAATGTCGACACAAAAAATCAAATGGGTATTGGGATTGATATAATGGATGTAATTGATGCTAAAAGATTGAGATGGTATGGTCATTTCCAAAGGATGACAGAAAGTCGATTACTTAAGAAAATTTTAAAATGGCTGCCTCAAAAAAACAGGAAGTGTGGCAGACCAAGAAAAATATGAAAAAATAAGATAGAAAAAGCGATGAAGGAACGAGATCTTCAAGAGAAAGATTAAAGGACGTGACGCTGTGGTGCGAGAAGTGGTGTGATATTGTTGCCAAATTTTCGGTGAATGTAATCAGAAGTGTTCTTTGGGGAGAAAAGAACTTAATAAACCCATATAAACTTGGATTGAAATGAGGTGAATGTTCTCTTGGGTTTGTTTTTAAAGGAGAGTCTTCCAAAAGTCTGTTTGAAGATATTGAGGTAATGGGTCTTCCAAATCCACTACATGAAGTAAACAAATTTGTAATAGTTTGTGCTGGAAGGAAATGGCTTTGTCAAAGGTGGTTGCAACATACACTAATTGAATAATATGATATGATAAAAACATCTTATAGTAAACTCCTTTACTGCTACTGGCGTAGCTTCAGTTAGTGTCGTCAGAGGCAAAACTAATACTATCCCCACCCCATAAAGTAAATATAAAAATACCTATTACTGAATTGTTTATACGGTATTTAAAAAAATACAAGCATATGTACTTTAGACATTTATATACAATATATTAAAAAACTGTATGTAATTCACAATAATTTAAATATAATTTTTCACTAATAAAAAAATGCAAGTTTTTTATAAAACAGTTTTAGGGATTTAAGATCAGCAAACTTATCTATAATTTTATCAAACTTATAATTTTTAAATAAATCATTAAATTTCTATAATTGCAACTATACAATTTTCTAATTGATACCACCCCTAAAATAATGTTTCCCCTGGGCAGAACCCCCCCCCCCTTGTCTGCCCATCCCTCTAACTATGGCACTGCTGTGATATAATAAAATAATTTAAACTTTATTTATACTAAATCAAATTTTTTAATTTGTGTTTTAAATAAAAGGTAGTGGATTCCAGGTGTATTGTCTATCACCATTATTATCCAGTTTTACAATAACATCACTAAATTTTTATAACATCTTAAAATTAATAGAACAAATGTTTGGTCATAATGTATTTTACAAGACCATCTGTAGTTGGTCTTGGTCGTATGCAGTCATTATTTCGCAGAGTGGGCAAACATGTGTTATAGTTAGTGAAGCGAAGATAAAATGTGTTTTAGTTTGAAGATTGAGTGTTTTTAAATGCAAATGGATGAGTTGGAAAACAGTATTACTCCAGAAAGTTCATTTTGAAATAATTCATGTAATGAGGTTTGATTAGATATTAAAAAAAAACTTTTGAGATTAAAAAAAATTCATATTTTAGTAATATTGAAACAAGCCATACAAATATGTTCTGAGGAATAATTGTGATAAAAACTTAGTTAATAATGTGTTATAATATACAGTCCCTGGCCATATTATTGGACACACTCCAAATTTGTAACTTTTGAAGTATCTCACTGCAGTACATTACATCTGACATTATTGCGAATCAATCAATAAAAACAAAGCTTCTTTTTCTAATAATTAACACATAATTTGTCATTATGTACCATTGTTGTGACACCTCATTGTTGCTTAGACACGCAAATTACAAGAGTTGAGTAGAACAAGAGGTGATATGAGTAGTGTGTTGTTGCATGAAGATAGTTTATTTTCCATTTATTAGTTTGTGAAATAGTTATAGCTGTGTTTATTTAAAAATTGTGGATTGTTGTATTTGAAAAACTGATAGTTTTGAATAAAAATAATGGGAAAGGCAAGTGATTTGTCTCCTCGGAAGATCGCAGCAGTTAAAACTCTTGTCAACACAGAAAATTATTCAAATCGTGAGATATCTTGAAGGTTGAATGTATCCGAGACATCTATTCGGCAAGTTAAGAAAAAAATTGTCCTTGGTGAAGAATTATCCCCAGGAAAGAAGAACACATGTGGACGGAAGAGAATATTTTGTATTGTTTTGTGAAATCTGTGTATCTGAAAGGACAGTAAGGCTTACACTACTAAATGAATTTTAAAGCTTGTAGACCAGCCCACAAACCCAGATTAACTGCTGGTATAAAAGAAAAATGTCTTGCATGGGCTAAGAACCTTAAGAATAAAGATTTGGACATCTGGAAATCGGTAAAAATTTAGTCTACTGCTTTTTTTATAATTATAAATGGCTATTAATTCTAATGTCATTTACTAGTATTTCAGGTTTGTTTCAGCGACGAATGCACTTTTGAAATTCTAGCAAACAAACATCAATTTGTGAGGTGCCCTGGTGAAAAGTATCATTTAGATTGTGTCATCCAGACTGTGAAACATTCAGTCAAGGCAATGATTTGGTCAGAGATCAGTGACAAAGGCACGGGGCATCTGTACTTGGTTAAGGGCACAATGAAACAAGACCAGTACAAGCAAGTATTGGAGAAACGACTGCTGCCTCAACTACATGAATAGTTCACAAATGAAGAATCATTTATTTTTATGCAAGATGGGGCTCCATTTCTTACTGCTCGAACAGTTCAATCATTTTTGTTGGGGAAAAATGTTCCTGTGTTACTATGGCCAGGAAATTCACCAGATATGAACCCAATAGAAAATGTTTGGGAGCTCATGAAGAGGGAAATCGCAAAGGAAGAAATAACAACAAATTCGCCTCCTTGAGAAAATAATAATCTGGTACCATCATCCAAAGTTGCAAGTAACAGTCCAGGCATGCATTAATAGCATGCAGAAAAGAATTAAAGCTCTAATAGCCGCCAAAGGTGGCCGGACAAAGTATTAAAGATATACATGTGCATGGAGATTTTTTATGAAAATTAGTTTATATATTATACTGACAGTCATAATTTTGCATATGATATCTTGTTTGTATTGTAAGTATTCAATTATTACTTATGTATTTCGTCAGAAATAAAAAAAATACATTTTTTGTCACAAAAACCTGTTTTTTATTGAAAATTTAGGGTGCGTCCAATAATATGGCCAGGGACTGTATACAAAATCTGTGGACTTGTAGAGTTTTTCATTTCAAGGAAAATTTATAAATCAAATTTCTAGCAAAATAACAATGTATCACAAAACTACATTTAATTGGGGTAAGAGTGCACATATGTAATATAACTTGGTGTCATCCAGATGTCAACTTTAAGTAATGTTTGTATATTATAACCTTTTCCCTAAATTCAAGATATGTTTCGTGAACATGCTGCTTTGATGTTCCATTCACTCTGCATCACTTCTATGAAGTTAATACTTCACACAATCTGATGAGTCGTGTGCAATTTTCCTTGGAAAGGATTCTTGTGACTATTACCTTAACAAGATTTTCATACTTGATAGTATGAGGTCGGTAATTATTCTTTCCTCCTCCATCTTCTGAAGACAGATCTGACAAATGGATTCTTGTCAGTCATTAAACCTAAATGTGTGACCTAAAAATTTGACTGAGAACAAATTTCTTTCAATGCAAAGTAATGAAAATGGCTGCCTCTTTGCTTAGTGTTCTTCTCACCTCTCACACTTTGGTTCACAACAGGCACAACCAAATTTCCATAGTGAGATTGATGTCTGCTTTGCACCCTTGAATTTCTCGTCCAGAGTTGTACTTACATACGTGATTTCAGAAAGAAATTACGAAATTAAGTTTTTTTCCAATTTGTTCCCCAAATTTCGGGATTTGGGCTTCATTTGATTTCACGCGATTAATTTCATAAACTAATAGTCGGATTGACGTCTGCTTTGCACCATTGTTTTTCTCGTCGAGAGTTGTACTTACATACGTGATTTCCGAAAGAAAATACGAAATTAAGTTTTTTTCCAATTCCCCCCCCCCCAATTTTCGGGATTTGGGCTTTATTTGATTTGACACGCTTCAACAGGCACAACACTCACAAAAAAAAACAACCACAAACCATTCTTTTCATAATTTATTATAAAATAAGTGTTACAAAGAACAAAGACAAAGTGGCATATCTACAAATGAATTGTGATATAATTATGTTGCATGTGGGAAAAAGTATCCCTGAAAAAATTGATTACGTCTACGAGGAGATGACATATTTACATGGTAAAATACACCACCATTGAATACTCACATCTTGAATCCTTTACGGAACATTGAATCTCGGTTAGGTGCCTTCCCTTCTTCATCCCATTCTTTCATTTCCGTTACCCATTGCGCAAATGCCTTTCTGTACCACTTTCTTTTATTATCTTCTCCAGCTTCCTCCTCCTCTTCCTCTTCTTCTTCCTCCTCCTCTTCTTCTTCTTCACTTTCTTGTGGTTCTGGCTTCTTTACCGAGCTTTTTTTCTTTGGTTTCTGAGCAGGTGGCTTTTCTTCCATTTCTTCCTCGTCTTTCAATTCTTCCTCTTTCTTAACCTTCTTTACCTCTTTCGGTCTTTCTTCTTCTTCCTCCTCTTCTTCCTCTCCCTGCAGGTCTAGTTTTTCCTCCTCTTCTGCGTCCTCATCCTCCACCTTTTCTTCGTATTCCATTATTTCCTCCGGTTCTACTTGTTCCTCCTCTCCCACTTCCTCGTCCTCTACGTTTTCATCTTGCATCGTTTCATCCTGTTGAACTTTCTCCTCATCTTCCATTTCCTCGTCTTCCGTCCTTTCTTCGTCTTCCATTACTTCATCCTGCTTTACTTCGTCACTCTCTTCTAATTCACCTACTGATTCATTTTCGCCCACTGATTCCTCATCTTCCACCATTTCATCTTTTACCGATTCTTCATCTTTAATCGATTCCTCGTGATTCATCGATTCCCTGCCTTTCATCGATTCCCTGCTTTTCACCGATTCCCTTTCTTTCACAGATTCTCTGCCGGTCACCGATTCTCTGCTGGTCATCGATTCCCTGCCGGTCACCGATTCTTTGTCGGTCATCGATTCCCTACCTTTCACCGATTCTCTTTGTTTCAACGATTCTCTTTCTTTCATTGATTCTCTTTCTTTTACCGATTCTCTGCCGGCCACCGATTCTCTGCCAGTCACCGACCCTCTGCTGGTCATAGATTCCCTTCCTTTCATTGATACTCTTTCTTTCACCGATTCTCTTTCTTTCACCGATTCTCTGCCGTTCACCGATTCCCTTCCTTTCACAGATACTCTTTCTTTCACCGATACCCTGCTTTTCACCGATTCTCTTCCTTTCTCCGGTTCGATTTCTTTCACCGATTCCCTTTCTTTCACCGATTTCCTGCTTTTCACCGATTCTCTACCTTTCACCGGTTCCTCGATCTCTCCCTCTTCTTCCAGGACAGTATAATCTTTATCCAAGGTCCGTCGCAAACTAACAGTGCTTCTTTTTTCAGTTTCGGGCGGTGTTTCTGAGTCTACAGATTTTCTAGGTTGAACATCTATTGGCATCTTCTCCTCAATCCACCTTGTTTCTGTTTTTTCATCGAAGCGTATCGATTTCTTCAACGAGCTTCTTCGGGATTCTTGTGCGTCCCTACCAAGTAAATCCGTACTGTCATCTTCGGTGTCACTTAACAAACTTTCAGGTTCTTCCGACTTTTTCTTAATCCAGATCCTTTTTTCTGGTTCCTCCGCATCAGGTTTATCGTCTGAAGGTATGCTTCTCTTGTAAGACCTTAACGAACTTCGTCGGTCGCTTTTCTCTTCGTCCATCACTTCCTTTTCAGTTTCTGATTCTTTCTTTACGCTGGGTCTGCTCGTTCTTGGTATACTTTTTATGCTTTCACGAGGTACTGAATCTTCAGTTGGTTCAATGCCTTTTGAGCTTAATGGGGTGATTTCCGAACTCTTTCTAATAGACCTTTCACTTATTCTCTTTTCACTTTCGGGTTCTGCCACTGATTCCCTCTTGGGGGTCGGTTCCTCTACTTTAGAAATTTTGGCCGGGATTGATTTTCTCAATCCCGCGGCGTCCACTGCTTCTTGTGATGGCCTGGCTTCTTTGGATGGCCTCTTTGGCTCTGCCATCGCCGAGCTAGGCTTTCTGACTTCTTCTAGCTGTGAATCTGCGTGGAATTCACTCGGTTCCTCTGCTTTGGAAACTTTGGCAGGGAGTAATTGTCTCAATTCGGCAACATTCTCAGGTTTTTGTGATGTCCTGCTCTCTTTGGATAGTTTCTTTGGTTCTGCCATCGCCGTGCTACGTCTTCTAGCTTCTCCAGGTGATGTAACAATCTGCAGCTCACTTGGTTCCTCGATTTTGGAAGTCTTGGTCGGGACAGACCTTCTCGCTTCCACATCCTCAAGTTTGCGCGATGGCCTACCTTCTTTAGACGATCTCTGTTTTTCTGCCACCGCCGAAGTACGTTTTATTTCTCCGACAGCTAGCGGCGCGATTGGTGGCGGCTCGTAATCTACGTCCTCTGACACTTTGGTGGCCTTCCTTTCAGGCCTGACGTCTTCTGTTCTGGAAACCTTGGCAAGGACTGACTTTCTCAATTCAGTGATTTGCTCAGTTTCTTGTGACGGCCTCTCTTCTTTGGACGGTCTCTTTTTTTCTGTCTTGGACAGGCTACGTTTGTCTGTCGGTTCAGAAGGTTTCCGGGTGGGTAAAGGTTTCTCAGAGGATTTTCGTGGGGGAGGTTTAACAGGCTCCTTCAACGACCTTTGGCTTACTCTTTTATCTCTTTCTATCACCGATATGACGTCTTCGTCTACTTCCCCTGCGAGCAGCTCATACTCTTCTCCTTCCGGCAACAATTTTGTTGACTTCTTTTTGAGTCTTGGTTCCTCCTCATCCGATTCGAAGTCTTCGGAAGTGAGTGTCGTTCTCAATTCAGTTTCCCCCGGGACATCTTCCAACTCTCGTACTTCCTCTTGGGATCGCATTTTCCTTTCGCTTTCCCGCAGGCTTGATCGAAGCTCTTCTATTTCAAGGCTCGCGGAACCACGTAAAGTTCTCACAGAGGATCGTCTGGGAGCAGACAATCTTTCTTTGACGAAGGAGATAAATCCGGTTCCTCCACTACCCCTGCCGCTGTAGTCAGTATCGGGGAAAATCCAGTTGTAAGACTTCCTGAGAACTTCCAGCTCCTTCTCGGCAAGCTTTCGCTCCTCTTTGCTCCATGCCGGGTACTTGGGGTTCTTGGAGTTGATGCAGGGCCCCAGCGGCGAGATGGAGAGCTCGTTGGCGCGTAGAACCTCCCTGGCGCTCCGGAACGACACTTGAAGCTCGTGGCCGCGGAGCGGGCGGGGCGGCTCGAGTCGCTCCACGCCGCCCTCCACGACGCGCCAGTACTACGCAAGGAGGCCAAGCACAGGCATCAAGCACACTGGGGTGGGCCCAATGGCCTCGCGACCGAAACGAGTTGACTGGTGATAACAATTGATGAAGTAATGGGATTTTCAATTTATACGGTGTTGGTAGATTGATGTTTTATTGGTAGATTTTTGGTCCCTCAAAGTTCGAATTCCTCGGAAAGCTGGATGTAAAACGGCGATATCGGTGGTTCGGAGTTGCGCTGCTCTCTGAATGAGTGACTCAACATCCAAGGGAGAGGTCAGTGTAACGTTCAAGAGTTTACATAATCTACATTTTAACATCCAGTACTCTCCACGATGGATACTCAGATTCGCATGAAATTTCACTGGCTGGTAGAAAACAATGCAAAACCCTTTTTTAATATTGAAATTTTTAAGTACTGTGGAGTATTAGAAATAGTATTTTAGAAACGTTTTGCGTGACCTCCGCGCCTTCGGCGGGCGAACCGTTGCATAGCCAGGCAGCGCCACGAACACCTCACACGGCGTCAAATTTCCATGGTGGGTTAATTAGTGATTCCGGGCGCGTACGAGGCAGGGGTCAATAATCCCTTAAGTGTAGTGCAAGCATTTTCCTCGGAAGGCCGCAGTGATCTTTCCCGACGGATGGTGAGATCCGGCGACGACCTACCGTCGGCTAGAGGTTTTCCCAGCCAGGTATCTCCCACCGGCGGAAATCCGCCCCAGCCGGGACAAGCTCTAAGCTCTCGATCGGTTTCCCACGGCATGTGTGTTAGTGTAGTGCATGTGAGTGTGCGTAAGTAAGGGGAGAACATGACAAAGAAGAGGAAGAAATGATCGCGGCCTGTGGCTCGTTTGTTAGCATTCGCACTGGCATTCGCACGATGTTGATTGGAGAAATCATGGAAAAGGACCGATCAGAGCAGCCGAAAGCTAGAATTCTCCACGTCAGCGACTGAATTTGACTTAACTATCAAGAAGCGTCAAAAATCCTGCCACCGTGGGGACTCGAACCTAAGACTTCACGTACAGAGGCACTGCAACAGATTTCGTTTCGCACTCGCTCATTCAAGCCAAAGGACAATTATTCTAGTTTCTTTCTATTTAGAAGTACGCAGTCACACGCTTTCTTAACTATCCTACTGAAGTTTGTGTTAACAATCTTCTAAATCTATGAAGTTGTGAAGAAAATTGAAAAACAAACTTACATACGGTGCACTTAGCGTGATGACACTACGGTTTCAATACTATTATTCTTTCTAGATATCATTATTGTAAAAAACTTTCCCATTACAAAAGTGAAATTGATTTATTTTAAATGTATTTAATTATTTTATAATTTGTTTATTTTATTTGGATTATGGAAACCGTACTGAAACGCTGAACACCTTTCTTATATTATAAAGAAGATCTTTTCAGGGATCTATTGTCTTTACAATAAACTGTAATATTATCGTTTAAGCGTGTGTTCGATCTCCCGTCTTACCAAGCCTGATGCGAAACCTGACATATACTCTCTGATACGAAACAATCGTTCTCTCTCTTGTCACTCTACATGGCCTGCGACGCAATTGACACCCTGACGACAGAGAGAACGATAGCGCCGGACAGCACGGCGACAATACGGCTACAGGGCCAGAAGCGTCACGAAAAGTCTGAATACTAACAGTTGCAAAAACACTACACACAGTGTACTTCGCAGCGTTTAAAAAATTACTTTACACATATTGCGCGGTGATGAATGAGCTACATTAAGTATCTAGCATGAAAAGTGTTGCTCTCAAGAAGGCCTTGAGTCGCCTAGACGACTGGTTGTTTTCATCGATAGAAAAATCAAATTGATAACAAACGCAATATTTAAGTGGAAGAAGAGACCTATAAAATATTCAAACGGAAGAAAACAGCTGCGTTGAATTTAATTGAAATGTGAAAATGGAGGTCCAATACACAACTAAAGTCGTTAATGAAAATCACCGCTTAGCAAATAGTCTAAGAGTCCTACTGACGGAACAGGTGAGAAAATGAAGGTTACAAAGGGTGAATGGTGATTGTAACTTGATATCAAAGTTCGCTGAAACCCGCGTGTCACAGATTTGTTTGTGAATTCCCGTTAAACGTTACACCAGGACGACGACTTAATCCGCTTTGAACCAAGAAAGATTTTAGCAGGTGTATTGCCCTATTTCCGATTATTTGGACTACATAATAGTTCGTATAACAAACGTAACGTTCTAAAGTGAAAAGAATAATAAACGTAGGAAGGTCGAAAATTTCGCAGCTTAATTTATTTCGTATAGAATTGTATATTATGCAACGAAACAATTCAATGATGGGTATTAATAAAAGTATGAGAAGCAAAATTACGATACGCGCAAGCTTAGTTAACTTCATACGAGTAAGTAACTATATTTAAGTGTATCTAGGGGAGCATTGCATTCTGAATAATTTGAAGATGAGAAAATGTGCATATTGCATTTTGATTCTTAGTGAAAGTTTGAACTGTATTTGCAGAGGCGTTCGAAAGAGGGGGGAGCTAGGGCAACTCGCCTCAGTTCGCGACTTTATTTGGGCTCAATTTTCTTTTCATTCCAAAGAAATAAAAAAACGAATTCATTTATAATCCAAATTTAACGTTATAAGGTGTTTCTGATTCACGGAGACATGAATTCTGTTTATGAATTGGTAGAGGAGGGAATATTTTGTTTGAAATGAGAGGCCCCCTTGAGTCAACTGCCTCAGGACCCTGATTTTTTGGGCGCCCCTGTTTATTTAAAAACCTGTATATTTTAAATTGATTTATGCATACATACTTAATCATTGTAGATTTCCATCCACCACGTTTTCTGTAATGTCATCAGCATCAATTAATAATATCGCTAAACATCCACGAAAGCAATGATCAGTTTATGAAGTTGGATTGGGAAGATTGAAAGAGGTAGCTATTTATTTACCCACCTTTCCTAATTTATTGATCCCTTCGTTTTGCACAGTGCATTAAATTGATATAATTGTTAAAGACGATGGAGTGTTGAGATGTGTTGGACGTTATTCACATTTTTTACATATTTCATAATATTTATCTTTTACTGAAAACATACTGGATAAGTTGGTTTTTGTATTCAGTATTGCGAGTAAAGGGGTAGATTGTGCCTTCTACACATAATTTCACTTCAATTCATATTATTAATGATTTCGACATGTACCCATTTAGCCCACGATAATGGTGAAATGATGTGCAACTATAAAACATACATTTATCGCTGTATATTTTGGCAAATGTAACGGTATGAATGAAATTGTTAAAAGTAATGAACTTTTGTTAAAAGATAGATTTCACAAGGTGTTTTATCAATGAGCGCTTTTATTTCACGAGATCAAACAATTCTCGAATTCATTGCTTTTTATCCGTCATATTTAAAATAATGAGTTATTTATTTGTAATTGCAGGTGTTCACGGGTGACTTGTGCAAGCGTCGACTTGACGAGGGCCGAAAGGTCCTTGCGAACGGAGCACGATCGATCCGTCGCGGGCCACTAAAATGTCAAAACGCGTTGGTTATAAAATTGGGTCCTCTTGAAGAAATTTTATTTATTTAGTCAAAAAAAGTAAAAACTGTATGTGATGTATGGGCGAGAATATCTGCGCAAGACGTTTGACAGGAAAATTTTGTCGTCAGATTTGTATTTTAGTTTTTAAAACACACAAAATGACTTGTCATTTAGCGGTGAGATGATACTTAGGAAACTTTGGCGAACATGTTAAATTAGTTAAATTTTTCGAAATTGGTACATTTGTGAATGTCTGTATTATTAACAAAAGAACTGGAGAAACAGGAGTCAAGTCTTTGGGCGCGACAACGTTTTTTGTGTTATCGTCAATCTGATGAAACATTTCATGACGGTTTATATTATGCCAGTAAGACAATATAGTAATGCGCGCCGTTTCAACACAAATGTGCCTTGAAAGTTTTAAACATAGTTTTTTGTTAATTTTTCCAGAATACAGGACGTACTCCCACTAAAAATAATGCCAACTGATTCGCCGAGTTGAAATGAATTGAACGAGACCCTAATCACTTCTCCAGATTCCTTAAAACTCGCAGAAAAGTGTTTTTAGCAAATTTTCGTAGAATGTTCTGTAAAAATTCGAAAAGAAATTGTCAGTTCCACCAACGAGCCACTACGCGTAGTGAGCAACTTCCTTTGTTCCGGTTTGTGGTGGCCCGGAAGAGGTCTAACTGCAAGTTAGACACATGGACGCCGCCAGACACGATTACTAAATGAAGGTTTTCGAAAGAGAACTCGCAATCATCGCAAATCTGCAAAATTTGCATTATATTTTAATTTCTGGGAAGATTAGGTTCTTTGATTTTAAGGGAGACAAAATGAAATTTGGTCAGTGATGAATAACAATTTTTATTAAAATTATTGTCACTTCTTTACATATTACACAGATCAACAGTTCGAAGAACATCGGCTTTATCATCAGAATCTCTTGTTGAATTTAATTATTGTTAACAGGAATATTAATTTGCACTTATTAACAATAATTAACTTCAGCAAGAAATTCTATGATGAAGGTCAATATCCTTCTAAACGTTTTTCTGTGTTATTTGTAAAGAAGTGACAACAATTAAGAAAACATTCATGACAAGTTTAATTTGTTGTCTACTTTAAAATCAATGAACCTAATCTTCCCAGAAATTACAATATACTCATAGGGCAGTCCTAATTTCGATTTAATTTCCACCTTTGTAACTTTTCTATTATAGTGCCCTGCATTCAACCCCTTTTACGCCTGTGCTGTGGATAGGCGACTGAGCAAGGCTTCTTTTATCCGACCTTCGGATATAGAATTGGGACGAGAAATGTCGCGAGTCGTCGAATGCTCGCGACGACAGTTTTGGCAATCGCCTTCGGCTATCGGAACGGAATCCTTGGAGCCCTATTGCTTCCTCCAATTGCGCGACCCCTGAGTGTTGTTCACCGCCTCCTCTGTTCCAATGGTCCTCGGCGCAACCCCGAAGCGATTCGCACAAGTTCTTGTGCACGTGGTACTTTTCTCGCTGAGACGGAAATGTCACATTTCGTTCGGCGAATAACAAATGTATTTTGTTCACGATTTTTGAAAAATATTTTAAAATCCTGTTTGCCAATATTGCAATAGGAAGTGGCGGTTTCAAGAAGGGAAGAGAAACATGGTTTCCTCCCTCAAAACCAACATTTTAACATTATTTTACTAAATTTATTCAAAATAATTACGTGCTGATCGCATCACATACACATGAGTATTCTCATTATGAATATATACATTACTTTTTTAAATAAACACTTTAAAAACTTTTAATATTGTTTCAAAAACCTATATGGGACGTGAGCGAGTCCAAATGGAAACTACACCCCCGCACCTAAGAGTGTCTGTAACCGCCTCTGAAAATAGTGCTAGCAATAATGCAGAGGAAGAAAGCAAGGGTTTATTTAAGTGTCAGTGTACGGAGGGAAAAAGGATGGAACACAAATTGGAGAAATTTTCAACCGCAGTGTATTGATGTCGTAGCTCACTACAAAATCAGAAGCAATGGGTGGCATGCAGGGTGTGTCAGCTGTACACGTCATTTGATACATAAAATGAGTTGTAAGTGCAAATCTACATTACAATGACTGTATGGCAAAATTCATTTAAGGCTTACGAACATATTTACGAATGGTTCTACTGATATTCCCATAATTGTCATATTTCTGCTTTGTAATCACATAATTTATTCGAAGATCAGAAATAAATATTTTACGGATCAAACCATAACAACTGATTTTAACATGGTCTCCCAAACGGAAATGCAGATGGAGCAAAAAATGATAGAATTTGATGATTCTGCACGAAGAAATTGGCAGTGAGTCAGTAAAACAAAGTGATTAATTTTTTGGATGTTATTATGAGAAAATGGAGTTAAATGCAAGAATAAAGAATATCAACAAAATTGGTAAGTATTTTCAATGTTTGTAAACATTTATCGCATTTCATTGCCAATACCTCTATTTTTTTTAAATCGCACATTAAAAAAATTGTAAAATTTGTAAGAATGTAATTACGAGATATTAACGGAAATGCGTAGTTTGGAGATTGCTGATATCTACTATCAAAATTTTTCGATTTTTTTTTCGTCTGTGAAGGAAATGTAAATAAGTCAGAACTGTTGTTCATCTTCAATGAGGTTATCCCCCCTTCACAAGGACCAAAAAAATGATAGAGTGCGCAGGGAAGGTCTCTCCGTAGCCGCGTCTTAAAAATTGCATTCATGTTGGTAGCATCGTGTTCAATGGAAACCAGCGAAAGAAAAAACTCTTCCAGTAACTGTTACGATTGTGGTGAGAACATAATTTACGTTAACTAATAATCAGGGCTCGGATTGTGATGCCATGCCATCTTTTCATTGCTGCATTCTAGACGTAGCTAGCTTGTAAACGAATGCTATTTTCTGTCATTTTGTAGGTCCTTCTCAAAGAGTCGGAGCACCCACCTGCCTGGCGGGCATGCGCACGGTGAAGACGTAGCGCTTGTAGCACTGGTCGAGCGCGAAGGAGCCGCGCACGCAGTAGGGCAGGCCGGGCGCCGACAGCACGCCGCCCACGGGCATCTGCAGGTTGCGGAAGACGGCGCGGCGCGCGCGCAGCAGGCGCACGGCCAGCTCCACGCCCCGCTGCTGCGCGCTCTGCGCCAGCGCAGACAGCGCCGGGCCCTCGCCCCACAGCGCCGGCGGCGGTGCGCACAGCGCCACGGACACGCGCGACCCTGCCGCACACGCCGGGCTGCCTGCCTGCCTGCCAGGGCGTCTCGTCTGCTTGTCTGGTTGTCTGTCAAGTCTGGTTGTCTGTCAAGTCTGGTTGTCTGTCAAGTCTGGTTGTCTGTCAAGTCTGGTTGTCTGTCACGTCTGGTTTATCTGTCACGTCTGGTTGTCTGTCACGTCTGGTTGTCTGTCACGTCTGGTTGTCTGTCAAGTCTGGTTGTCTGTCAAGTCTGGTTGTCTGTCAAGTCTGGTTGTCTGTCTGGTCGACTGGTTTTCTGGCCGTCTTGTCTATCTGGTAGACTCATCTGATCGTCTGTCTATCTGATCCAATATTCCAGTGAATACAAAGTTTGTCGCAAACCATACACTTATAGAGATATCAAGGAATGTACAAATCATTTAAATTTATTTCAATAAAAATTGCAGCCGGTGTACGCAGATAAATTTTAACAATTTGGTGATATCCTGGGAGCCACGCGTCTATCAAGGTTGGTATTAATACATATTTTTGGTAATAAATGAGAATAATTTATAATGTGAGTTTGAGATTGAAGCGAATTCGTATATATTTATTTTGCATTAAATGCTTTGCTATGTTTGAACGTTGTTTCACTATTAAGGTTTTATATTAATGAGCAGTTCGAATTGAAACATAAAAAATTGACTTTTACTACATGCTATTAAAAATATTTAATGATTTTCAAATCATCATTGAAACATTATGAACATTAATTTTGTGTGTAAATATAAAACAAAGAGAAGTTAAGAGTAATACGTACATAAATGCATAAAATGATGCTACAAAATATTGTAAATAGTATCTCTCTTATATAATAGATTTGATGGTGCAAGTGAGTGAAATGATAATTTTATCCTAAGTGAAATCGTTTAGACCACGTTAACTAGAGGAAGCTGATTTCGTACGGCGAGAAAGTTATTTATTCTGATATTTTACGCAGTTATATCCACTGCCACTATGGAAATTGTAAACGTTTAGTGTAAGTAAATATCGTATCTATGCTCAGACTAAAATTCCTTAAATGTTTTTATTCGATTTCAAGGAGAGTTGCATAAGTAGATTCAATTGTTTCTCAAAAATCAGAGGGAAAGTTGTCTAGATTTTATCGATGATGCTCCATTTACGATCCATTTCTATGGACGTAAATTGTACAGGTAGCGAAATAAGATTCCCTGAAGTGAATTAAAATTTAAATTCATCACCTTATAATAGTTATTTATGATACGAGTACTAAAAGTGACATCTCAGTTTGCTAGCAGGAATGGTTGCGTCATGAGGTCGATAGGCCGAGCGGTGCAATTCGACGAGCAAAATAAAATCACTTTCACCAAGGTTGTCACCACTTCACCACTATTAGACAGCCTTTCTGACCTTCATTTTATTTTTATTCCAATTTAGAAATCACGGAGTAGCTGATGTGGGAAAACGAACGAATTTTTTCTTTGTTGCGACCATAAGTTTATAAGAACACTTGCGCATCGTCTCAATTTTAGCACTAGTACTACATTAAAAAACAGTACTAAAAACTAGCACTAACTTTTAGCACGTTGTGAATACCCTGAAAGATCCGCTGGCTGCTTTTACTGGCCTCCGTCTAAAAATTCCTTTATATTACAAAGTAAAATGAAAGATTATTTTGACGAAATATATATATATATATATATATATATATATATATATATATATATATATATATATATTAGAAAGGTAGGACTAGAACTCGCACAAGCTACCTGTCAAACGTTTTCCCTCGGGAAATTACATTTCTTTCTTTTTCAGGAGTATATATTTTTGGGGTACGAAATAGAACTTGTAGTCTTTCATTATCATTCTCAGTTAAAAGGCATTTTCTGAGATGGTTTTGATGGTTGGGGGAATACGATTTGAATCCCGGAGCAGTGATGGAATGAGAGGCCAAGAAGAGAGAAGAATGTGAAAAACTGCCGCGGGAAGGTAAACATTCTGAACACTACACCAGTGTTCGCCCCTGTCGCGCAATACTAATTCAATTATTTTAATGTCGAAACCAGAGTACTCAAAACCACGAGTAGAGGAGATTAAGAAGAAACTTTAGAGTTCGCTTCAAAATGAAAAAAGTGTCTACAACAGTTCTATACACGCGGACCAAAAGTCGTGAGTCACATCTCTGAAGACGATCAAGGACCCTTAAGCGTATTTCTTCACATAGCTTTGGATTCGATTCGAAATTCTGAAAAGCATTATCAATGGCTGTTCTCGATTGTGGTTGGATTTGAAGCATATGCTATATTTTCAATCAATCCTCAAAATAAAAAAAAATCCATGAGGCTATGGTCATTAGTCCCGTAGTGTGTTGTGCACGGTTTTGGCTCGGGAGGAGGCGGTGCTGCTGTGTAAGTCCCTGCTGCTTAGTGCAAGTCACCTTGGGGATTTCCCTCACCAAGCATCTCCCCATCCGGGACAGGTTAGTAGCCCCCCACCGATCTCCTGACAGATTAGTGTAGTGATAGTTAAGCATACATGTATGTGTGTAAATGAGGTGTGAGGATTGAGCGAGAAAGGAAGAAGCGATCGAGTGCTATCCGTGGCACGTTTGTTAGGATACTGCTCCGGCATTCCCCTGATATTGATGGGGAAACTACCGATCACAGAAACTGCGTACTAGAATTCTCCTCCAGATAGTGGCTGAATTCTATACATAAGCTATATAAGGTTTTTTAACGTATTAAAACGTTTATGGGCTCTTTGTTAGTAGTATTTGTAAAATTAACAATTTTTGCATGCTATGGTCACAAAAGCAGTTTCAGTAGTATTACTGTAGCTATTCGCGTATTTCTTTTCACAAAGAGCAGGAAAATACCGTTTGTCCAAAAGACAAGATACTCGCCGGCCAGTGTTGTCATAGTAACTACAAATCAACATTAAACGATTTATGCTCTGAAATAAATTTTCCCTATTTTCAAACAGCAAGTTTTTGGTTTAAAACTTCTGACAAAAATAGTGCATTACAAAGAAAATAATGATTCAGAATATTAATGTGAGAAATACTTAAGAGAAGAGAATTATCTATAAAAATACATTACGAAATGATTCTTACTTAATTCACATTTAATTAATTATTACAAAAACATTCAAATGGCGCCGCACTACTACCCACGGTGTAACGTACAAGGGCACGGCCTATCATGGGTAGAGTTTATAAGCCCCAGAAGCATCGAACGACAGAGAAAGTGTTGCAACAAAGATTTTCATATTCATTCACTCGTTAATGAACGCTACGTATATCAAAAATCGTAAACAAACTGTAACCATATGTTAACTTACAATCAGCAGTTCGTCAGGTGCTCTAAAATTGGCATACATGTGGCAATGAACATTGTTTGCTGCATGAAACATTTAATTCCCAGTAGGGGATTCACTCGCATCCCTCCCATACACAATAGGCGAGTGAAAAACGGCTTTTATTCGAGACTGTGGATAGTAGCTCATTGTTATATTGTTTTAAGGCAAAAACGTGTTCATTACAGGACGATTCTGATGAAAGCGTTCTGTAATGAATTTTCCTGACCCCACTGTCATCAACTTATCATGTAACAGTTGCCCACGAAGAACAAAGGAGTCTTGCAGTATGTAAAAAGTTCGGGACTTATTGTTGGTTAACCTGTCATAGATAATTTGTGAATACTTACAGTGCTTTTTACTCGTGGCACAAGTAACGACTTCATCTAGCTAAGAAACAAACTACTATCAGCAAGTCACATAGCAATGGTTCCATGCTAAGATATATTGAATTAGCTCTCAATACATTGAGAACGTGCACTTATCAATTGACATTTTATTTGAAACTATTATACATTGATTATAATTGAACAATCTATTAAAGAGCAGTTCGACGATACTTTCCATTCATTTCGAAGTTTCCATTGTTTCCAAATTATCTTAAATATCAAGATCCATTAAATCGATAGAACATTCTCGTTACTATTAAAGAAAAACCCAAGAACAACAACCAACAGGTATGTGGCCATGCTAGCAGAACAAATGATAGAGTGGTAACCATTTTATGTCAGTGATATATTAAATTACAGATGAGCATGCGTAATAAGGCTCTCGAATAAAATATTTTACGTCCAACTGCGAAAGACTTTTCACGACTCCACAGGATTCCGCGCCTCGACGGGTTGACTCTCCTGTCTCGTCTTGTCTCGTCTTGTCGCGTCATGCAAAGGTCGGCTTTCTTGCCTTAGGATGTCCTAAATTACTATTGTGTCATCGACACAAAACGCCAAAGTGTGCTACTGATAATTAGGTTAAATTACCCTCCAATGTTGCATCGAACAGATTTAACACGAAACAGATATTTCCGCAGATACTTCACTCTGCAATAGTAAATGTTATTCTGCAACACTTGCCATATATTAATAAATTGAGCCGGGCAATGTTCAGAAACGTTCGAAATACGGTTTCAGTACGAAGCTATTTCCCTTTTAGAAGAAGGGTTTAAAGAGAGCGGAGTGCTCGCAATTAGTCACTGCGTTAGTAAATGATTGATAAATAAACATTTATCAATCTTTCTCTCTCTAAGAAATATTTTCCTGTTTTCCCTTTTTTGAGCGACTCAAATATAATAATGTTCACAAACCTCTCCAGTTCAGAGACTTCTTTGGTGAGAAACTGTAAAGGAGAAGCAGTGGGCTGCTTCGGACTTCGTCAGTGAACCTCAAGCAGACCTTGAAAGCTAAAGCCGATTTCATATTTTCTCTGTAAAGATGGAGTAGTTTCGATTGCTAGTAACATCTCTCTTGCGATCTGTACTTTAAATGTATTGTCTGTAATGTAATTTTAGATACTTTTATATGGTATACCAAACTTTTAAATAAGCCTTAACTCACGTTGGAATACAAAGTTTACGATAGTTTTCTTGCAATTCACCGTAAGGATACAGAACAATGAAGTACGAAAGGAGACACAGAAACCATACAACAGTAAACAAATCCCCAAAACGCAAGATTTATTAGAGACCGAGAAAAATAAAATATTTGGTGACCTATGGATATATTGTTTAAATGTATACACAAATATATCTGGCACATCCTATAAATCCGTAGAGATGACCTTTTTGACGGCGGAAATATTATTCAACTCAAAATTCTGTCACAAAATGAAATTTCCCTGGATAAGTTGAAGTAATTCTAGAGTAATGATGTTTTGAAACCTCAAATAAATATGGCTTGATCTTGTGCATTGCGTGCTGTTACTTATGACAACATCCATATCTTGTGATCACCATATCTTGTAAAATTAGAATTAGTATTATTCTAACTATTGTTATTTCAGATATTGTAATAAAATTAACTCACTTTTACAAAAGGAATACTGTATATACAATAATTTTATTATTCTCTTATACATTATCAAATCTTTTTCGTCGCTGTTATAGAAAATTGAGAGACAATTATGTTTCTATCACAAAAATAGTTTCCGCATTTCATAGTCACACATAGAAAATTATAAAAAATGTAATACTGACTCAGATTAATTACAAACTTATAAACTAGTGCATATAAATATTTATATGCTGTGATGAAGAGCGCGGAATTTTTTTGATTCCTTCTTTCATGACTGGGTTTCGTAAGAGTGTTCCTTACTCACTAGTCGCCGGTGTTGTTCAATGCCGCGCTTTCAAGACGCAACCACATTCATTTATTTTCACGCACAAATGCAAGTGAACGTTCTCACGCCTTTGACTACGTTTTGGGAAGCCGAAGCAGAGATCCTTGGTTTGGCCTCTGCGAGACTTACAGAAAATCCTGCAGAATTAGCGATACCTCGAGGAGTTTCCTCGTTAAAGAAATAGTTTCTTTCTTAATTAGTCTTTCCTGCTTTCAACGTGTCTCTCGTCGTGACGACTCACCCTGCATCAGTGGAATATCTTCTTCAGCTGTTCGCCTCTTGGAGGAGGATTTCTGCAACAGAACAATATTATGAGATACGTGTATCAAATACTTTACATGTTGCCCTGTATATTTGATATTTTTTATGGAAACTGCTCAATTAATCTAGGGTCAGTATAATGCGTCTCATGTTGAACCGTAACAGATACACTGCTTGAAGAAAATAAATCTAACAAATATTTGCAGAACCATTGTTACGGTACACACCAAAAATATGTTTGCAAGAGGAAACATCTTAAACTTTTACTAATGACACACACAATGTCTTCTGGAATACCTGGATCTGTCTTTGCCCAAAGGAATTGTAATATAATTCTCACTAGGTTGCGTCTTGTTCTTTACGAAAATATTTCCATCTACAAATTATTGTACAATGACAAGCATTCAGACTTTCTTTGTAAACATAATATATAGGTCAGCAAGTCATGGTGTGTAATGTAATAGGGATTAGAACGTGTTGTTCACTACGTATGATATTACGAATTCAATTCGTTGTTAGGGATCTTACTAATGTGAATTCATGCTTTTGTCTCTTTAACAACTTGTTATACCAGTATAACATATAAATGTGGAGTAATAAGAATTTGAAAGAAAAATGTGCCATGAAAAATTAAAGGGAAAACGTTGACACCATCTATAGTTGTAGAATTCTCCACATGATACTGAAATCTATAATTTTGAGTTATGCATGCTTACGCCTTGATAGGTCAAAATATGTGTTTTATGATTGATCTATGAATGAATTTTGGGACGGTAAGAAATTTGTTTGATGATCAAAAATGTACTCTTCACATAGATTTTCTTATTTGACAAGGGATATTCTTAATGTCACTCGCCTGTGGGATATTATATTCGCTAGAGAACAATGGTGAATATATTTTGATATTTTGACCTTTGAGTTTTATGTTAACCAAGCTGGAATGTTAAGTTACAGTAACCATTGTTAATATGTATTGTGTGGTACCGAATGTTTACTATGAGCTACAGTAGTATTTTTGCGTTTGAAAATCGTAATTTAGTTTGTAACGTGCTGGCGGGCACCACGCTGTCAGCAGAGATGTCGATATGAGGTATCGATCCCAGCGCTTTCTAGAACGCTCAACAGATGGCAGAAGTTAGCGCTGTAAAAGAACAACGGAAACGCTTGGACGGTAGAAATAGGAACTTGCTGCAATGAATGTCCAGCTCATATTTAACTTCGAAAACTTCGATACTTCACTTACAAGGTACGGTGGCTTACACTGAAACACTGACTTTGGGGAGGATATTATGTAAACATTCAGATTACAGCCTAAACGAACACTCAAAAACCAATGGGAAATTCAGAGCCGAACTCCTTTTCTAGCTTAGCTATTGATCCTCGGACCTATCCCCGAGTAAAAGCTATTTGAAGATGAAATATTATTTTAATTTCTTTCTTATTCTATGAAGAAATAACTCAGAATGACAAGAGTACGAAAAATCATTAAAAATAAAATTTTGCAAATATTTTCGAACAAGTAAATTATTACTTAAATTTCCTACGTAGAGGAAAATGTAGTTGGTACTTGTATTCATTTTTACCGAGATCTCAAAGTGAAGACATCGCTGCCTTATCCGAGATTGACTATAAGCCCAGAACGGAATTGTTGCCTTCACAGATGTTTCGTATAAGTACTGCTCCGATATGCCACCTGATCGGAGCAAACCCGAGAAACGACCAATCAAAACAGTTGAACTGTAGACATTTCATCGAGGCAACGTCGCCGTCCGACCTCTCTTCTAAACTGCTGTCCGAACCACGAAACTCGCCAGTGCCAGAAACACTGTCTTTTCCCTCTACAAAACGTGCAGACTTGCAATCACGGGAACCAGGAGAATCGATGACGCAAAATCTTTTGTCTCACCGATTGGCTCATTTTTCGGCTCATAGAATGAGCTTGCAACTTTTGATTATAAGACGGAGTTTGATTCATAGTCCGTACGCACATAGGTTATACAAACACAAAGTTCCTCGTGAACCGTGGCTATTAGTCCGATTATGCGCGTCTCGGATTAGTCGTAACACGAAGGTGCCCACAGGCGCACAGTTTTGACCGCGCAAGTTTGCGGATCGCGTGCTCTCGCCCCAGCAATCTCTCAGTCTGTCCGCACCTCTCAATTTACCCCTCAACCCCTGCCTACTAATGTCCGGGAGGCGCATTAACATTCCTTTCCTTATTCGAAGAAAGTAACGGCAAGTCAATGGTTGGCGGCGAGGATCTAGCCTTAGGCTTCTGCGATTAACAAAAAAACAACTTGAGTCTGCGCAACTAGAAATTCAAACGCATATGCAGGTAAAGAATGAATAATAAATTAATTGTGGTTGGAAAACGAACTGAGAATATGTAAACATCGGTCTGAAACGCTATCATTTACCTACTTGATACCATACCACCCACCAGCGTGGAGAGATTAATACTTCTAACATGATGGTGACGTGAGAACTAGAAATTGTGTAGCCGGGTCACTAGAGCAGGGGATGAGATGTTCTTGAGATTTCAAACGAAGGAAAGGAATGGCATACGCATCCTGGCGAAAGCACTTCGCTCTCTGTCAGGTGGAGGTTCGACAAGGCAGCTTTACACGCCCAAACGTTCAGAATACTGGATTCTAAAGAACCACGAAAGTATCTTGAATAAAATCAGGACCCGACAGGCTCTGTTCGTGTGAGTTTCGATAGGAGTTGTGTTGGCACCACGATCGCTCGTGTGTTGCTTGCAAAGGCGAAGGAAGCGGGCAATGCACCCACGTGTTCAGCTGCTGCTTTCCGCACCAGGGGCAGCTGCCCTTGTAACCATCGAAAGGCACCCTCGCCTCTCTACATCTCCCATGCGCAGCGCTACGATTAGGGACGGATTCGTTTCCTTGGACAACCCTGTTAGACGGTCGCTTCAAAGGGGACGCAGCGACTACCCACATGAACATTACAATCTAAATTACGCTCCATTTTTACTACCTCGCTACGGAGTAGAGAGAAACTCGTAACGAAAATGAGGTTAAATCTAGTTGATAAATTTAGAAAAAGTTCTCATGGATTATACGTGGTACGTAGTGTATCCAGAATCCATGTTTCGTGGGTCCTTGTTACCGAAAAATATAACAGCAAAACATCTGTTCATATCTATCTGTCGTTGAAATAAGATCATGGACAATTTTTCGAAAATTTGAGTATTTTTCGCGTACATTTGCCTGAAAGTCGGGCGAGAAAGTACGTGCTGATCTAGCACAACTGGTTTCCCATCGGGTTCGCAAGAAACATCCGCATCCTACATGTCCGACTGCTCCACTGTCGAAGGCTTCCTCCGGAGTATTCCAAAGGTCTCTCCGCCACTCCGCGTCTTTCTGTTCGGAAATGGCAACGTTGTCTCTAGTCCGGTCCTCCCAACGAACCGGATTCAAAGCATTGTGGCCCCTTAAATGCTTGGGTCATCGCCAGGGCGGCCCTCCCCCTCTCCCCTCTGCGAGTGGCCCGCTCCCCGCACTTAAATCTCGATTTCGAATGAGAATCTAGGGCGCTCGCTTTATGAGCTTACGCTCAAAGAGATTGTGCTAGAAACCCTGCAAACTTTAACTCTAACGGAAAAGAAATGCAATTTTTGTTGACTAGAAACATTAACAGTCGTTTTACCAAGGAAAGGGGGTGGGTAAACGGCTATTTTATTTTTATTTATATATATTTATATTATTATTTTGTTTTCTGTACATGTATAAACCAGTTGTGCAATAAAAGCAACGCAGTAAAATTTACATATACAAAATTTCAGAGATTGATTGTAACATATAGCTAAAACATACATTAATATATCAGAATTTTTCCTGATTCCGAAACAAATTCCTTCGATCGTATTGCAATGCAATCTGTGGTCCGTCGTCGGTGCCGTCCCCATCGGAATTCTGCACGTGGCGGAAAGACGTCCCTTCGCAAACGCGTTCAATCTCCAGTAAATAGCAGCATAAGAACAACATGAAATTATCAATCAACAACAAATTGATTAATTAATTTGTGTTTTCGGGTGCGTCAACTATTAAGATGCCGTAAAGTCGCGCTATTAGCCGCTTAAGTGTAGTGCATACTTTTATTGGGGGAGGTGGCGGCGATCTTCTTCGGTGAACGGCGAGATCCGGCGCCGACCTACGTCCATTTTCCTCCAACCAGGTATCTCCCACCACCCAATAGATAACTTGTGTACATTCGAAAACAAAAATGCTTTGTAAACTCTTAAGGGTAATTAAAAAAATTATATTACTCGTAATTCTTATACGTCGGATTCGATATAAAACGTATCTCTATAGGGTAGCACCAGGCAGCTAGAAGAATGTCTTAGATTTTCTCTGCCAACCACACACAGCCTAATCGCCCACGAGTCCTACGAGTAGCACCAGCGTGGGGCTTAGTGACGGCCCCTGAGGGGGAGGGGGAGACGGGGCGGGGCCTCGCCCCATAGCTCACCCTGAGCGTGTCGCGACTGCGCCGCAGCTGCTCCATGACGTAGCGCGTGTCCCGCTCCTCCTCGTCGCTCTCCTCGTAGGGCAGCAGCTCGGGTGACTCCACCCCCTCGCCCTCCTCCTGCAGCACCACCCGACCACCCCGCTCAGCCACGCCTCGCACTCCGCATTACTGGACGAGCGAGGCGATTCGCGTACTTGTCGCCTGTGCTGCTTTTTAATATACCGCGCAAAAGATGGTTCGCACACGCTTCGTTATGTCCGACTCTACATCTGCATTCTCCGTTGCGTAACAAAGTTTTTATCTATAAACATTCTTTGCATAAATGACGTAACACTAACAGAATCTTCCGAGGTCCTGTCCGTTGGGATAAAACGCGATGGCTAACTGCGACAGACAGGAACTGACTGCGTTAGATTAGGATTACTTCTCCTCTCCTGACACCAGTAAAGCCCTTAGAAAACGTTAAGAAAAGAAAGCACGAAAAGGGAAAAAATTTAGGGAAAAAGATTCTACACGGTTTTGTTCATCCGAAACTGCTCTTTTGTTCACATTTACTTTAAGAGCGAAACAGCTAGACCTTATAAAAAAAGTACCAAGCATATTACACATTTGCGCCACAGTCTGGGACAGACGAGGACTTCAGAGGTTGGAAAAAAACGTTGATAAAGCAATGCAAAACACATTTTTTGTAACGTCCACGGGGTGATTTACAATCTAGAATAACTGTCCCAAATGATAAAATAAAAAATCCAAGATTTAGTTAATGTAAAGTTAGTAGAAACCAACACTCGAATTTTGCAGAAAATGCTTCGCACTTCCCCACTGCAAGCTTCGGCCCCGTGCACTTCCCGCTTTGTGCATTTTGCTCGTGTGCTGCCGCGCTCAGCACTTCCCAGGGGGGGAGCAAAGCCCTTATCCCTTCACAGAAAAGTTCCCAGCAAAGGAGATCCCCTTCTTATTCAGGGAATTCGTCCGTACAAATCCTTGGACGTGTAAAGCGTATCCGTTTCCTCTTTTCTGCGAAACTCTCACGATGGATCAATGTCTCCCGGACACGCAAAATCGATTCGCCTTTTTCGAGGGCTACACCTACAAATTTCTCAACCTTTGTATCTGCCTCAACTTTTTTCAGCACACATCGTAACTATTGCATCGAAGAAAAACGAAACGTGTGAAGAGGGAAATAACGCATTAGGATATTAAACGAATTTTCATACTAACAGAATTTCTTTCTGACTCAAAAGGCATGTCAAATATAATGTTTTCTGCACTTGAGCGGAAGATTCTTTTAATGTAGAATTTTCGTCTATTGAAGGTTTTCAAACAATAGTTTCCATCTTACAACTATCGCCTGTCGACAATTCCACTCGCTAACTTCCCATTCAATCCAACGATTTTCCTTTAGGTGGACAAGAAGTAAAGCCGATTGTAACACTTTAAATTTGAAGAAACAGACGTGACCCAATTAATTTCCATCACTTGCAAAAATTTCGTTTGGTAATTTTTTGTGTAATTGGTCTCGCTAGTAAGATACAAATTCAATGTATTTCATTCTATGCAACTCTCCACGATCCGACAGAGCTTCGTTCGATATAATCTGAGTTGAATAAATTCGATCCGAATCACCCCAGCCCATTCACCAGGGCTCGATCCGACCCGACCCGGCCCGACCCGACCCGACTTGATATAATCCAGAGTCAACCGATCCTTTTGAAGCCGATCCTATTCGAGGCGACTCGATCCAATAAACGCCGACTCGATCGGATTCAAGTCGACTTGATCCGAGTCAACTTCAATCGGCTCGATGCGATTAGAGCCGATTCGATGAGATTCACGTCGACTCGATCCTCACCTCGCGGTCTGCTGCGGTGGGCTTGCGCGAGGAGCGTCGCCGGTCGCCGCCCGCGGCGTCGCCCACCGCGGCGCGCAGGGAGGTCCGCACGGCGCCCAGCGTGGCGTGGCGCTGCGCCTGCGCGCTGCCCCCGGCGCCGCGCCCGCGCCCGCGCTCGCTCCAGCGCGTGTAGCGGTTGCCCTCCGCGTCGGCGTCCGCGCCGCGCGCGCAGCAGCGCCGGCACAGCGCCATCAGGATGGCGATGGGGAACAGCAGGAAGAACAGCGTGTTCACGCACAGCTCCGTCGCCCTGCGCAGCGGCCGGCCGCCCACCAAGCGATTGCGTGGTGCGTTTCACGCCCGCCGGCGGCTAGCGGGGTTCCCTCGACAGGTACCTCCACAAGCGGACACGCTCTAAGCCCCCGGCTGGTCTCCCAACATGTGGTGTAACAGTGCTCGTAAGGGGTGAGGATAGGAGGAGAAGGAAAAGGAAGGAAAGGAAAGAACTACAAAAAGTAATCGATCTGAGAGCCGGGAGCTGAATTTCTCGTGCAGGCAGTGGCTGAATTCGACTTAGCTCAGTAGGAGTGCCAAAATCCGTCCGCGCTCGAATCCTGAGACCTCCCGGTCACATGCACTGCAGTGACATCGAGCCACCTCGCCGGTTGCGACCAGCATGACAAGAGCCTCGTACGTGCGATGCAGGCTGCGATTAGCAATGGGTTATCAAGGACATCGAGATACCGATATTTTGTATTTGATAATCGTTATCTTCAACATTGATTTTGTCTAACTAATCATATGAGAACATTATAATTTTTTGAATAATATTGATAAATTTTTAATTTTGCAGCACCTGCAACGCATGCTCCCAGAAGGGACACGAATTATGAGTCAACGGGTGTTTGGTGGAGACACGTGTTTTGGGGAGGCAGAAGAATTCGATGAGGGGGGAACGGCAGAAACACACGGGGGACATGTGGGGGTCGAGTTATATAGTCGAGTTCTGCAGGCTAATACTGTCACGTGCAGTTCAAGGGCTGACCGTTGGAAATTAGCAGCCAGTATGAAGTTATTTGCACTTTTAACAATGATTTACAAAGTTAAAAAATGATTGCACTGGTCCAGCTCCTCAAATTCATGTTAATAAAGTACTTTTTTAATGAATAATGTATTAAATTGATCAAAACTTTTCATCTACTATCATTTACAATTTATATAGAAAACGAGTAATCCTCTAAAATTCGTGATGTGGAGGTATTGTGATCGCTCAGCCTGAGCAGGTTGGAGCGACACATTCCCGTGAAAGTCTGAACGCAATTCCTTGGAACTGCAAGAAACTCAAGAGTTTGCACAGCGCGTCGGAGTATTAGCGCGAGGGAAAGAGGGGTAGACGCCGACCTTGCGTTGAGAAGTGGAGGAGTATGGCATGCACGTCGCCCCATGCAACGCTCTCTTCGGCCTCATTCCCATTGCGCGGCTGCAACTCATCCGCACTCGACGCCACCACACAAATCAAACAGCGGGAAGGGGAGGGTGGGCGGTTCATGCGCCACATGCGAAGGGCAAGCCGAGACCTTGGTTTCTGGATTAAAAAGTCGGGTGCCGATCGCAGTATAATTTCTTAAATTTAATTAGTTTTAATTAGTGTACGGTCTAAGATATTATCTATTAGAATACACATGAATACGCAAGGATTAAATGAACTTTGTTCCGCTTGTAGTAATAATAACTCGTTCATTTTTAATACCGAGACTAAATTGATACTAAAATGGTTTTTCTTTTCATCTAATTTAACAAAGCAAATAGAAATTTCACAATGAAAGATGAGGGAAATTATGTTAAAATTTTGCTCAACATTGACGTATTACATCTTTGAAAATATATGCTTAGTTTCTCTAAAACTTCCTTCCTTCTTCACACTCTCTCTCCTTCCCCCCACTCTCCTCTCTGTCGTTCTAAAACATTGCCAACCTCTCTCACATTAAACTGCCAACTTATTTGTTAGAAAGAAAACCCTTACTTTGCGTAATCCATCTTATTTAGTTTTAATGTACCGAAAGCGCACATCTGCGACTGAAGACTACAAGCTGCAAGTTGATATATAAATCTTGCTGGCGCCTCCATAAAGGGGATTTCCAGCTTCATCGCATGTCTGTAAGAAACTGACTTCAAGCATTGTAATTGTCGTCTGCGCTGCTTTAAACAAATTCAGAACTTCTCGAAGTCCGTTGTAGTATATTATGCACTCCTGATGGATATTTCTTGTAGTTTCAGAGCTTGGCACAACTTATTCAAAGTTACGAGGTAAGAATTTGTACCAGTTGTGTATCGCACTTTCCTCCTCGTCGAAAGACAAGTTGCAGAAAGAGGAACAAAGGGTTTCTCTGCGAACGAACTGATACGATTTGTTTTATAAAAATAATATATTTAATTACTTTAACAAGAGCAAGAAAAAGTTTAAATAAAAGAAATTTTCCCTACAAGTTTACGAATTTAAATAATATTTTTCTATTAAATTCAGAATGTGATAAGTTTAAAATTAAATCGTACAGTCATGGATTAGATTTTATGAGATAAATTGGATTATAAAACGGACAATTTCGTCCACCAGTATTTAGAACTCTTGAATGATTTCTTCAATTTCATACGATTCAATACCGAAAAAAAATATTTGCTTCAAACTGGGGGTAATATGTAGAAGAAGTAGGAAAATAATATGAGAACATTTTACTTTTTTGGTGTAAAAATGAATTTCTATGTAGTATATTATTCCTTAATCTGATGGCCTCATGTGATTGCAGCGGGGCTACCAATATCATGACAGGTGTGTGCTGATAGAATAATTGCCTGCTTCGTCATCCGTCGCCCCTTCTTTCTCCGCTCCCACGATCCAGCGGAGAAAGAAGGGGCGACGGATGACGAAGCAGGCAATTTTGACTTCAGCTCAGAGGCTTCTTTTAGCCTTGAGGATCTTTTAAATGCAGTAAATATGGCACAGCCGGCTTTACTTCCCATCCGAAGACAACCGCACGCATGAATTTTTTTCGCCCTGCAAACCCACGGTTTTGATCGGGTTTAAACCTGCGAACTCGAGTTCATTTGGCGAGACCCGGACCATCAGGATAGCTCTTCAATCTGAGCATGCACATTTCGCGACTCTCTTTTCTCCTTCTAGCGGAGAAAGAAAGTATCACTGAAGGGCGACGAAATCGATTTGAATTTAGCTCAGAGGCTTCTTTTATATGCACTAAATCTACTACGTGGGACAGACTACTTTACTTCCCCTCCGAAGGAAGGCGATTTTTTCGCCCTTCGCCCGATTGGGTTTCAACCTACGAATTTGGGTACAACAGCCCGGTACGGTGACCATTATACCACCGAAGCCATCGCGCCTTCGCGCACCTGCTGTGGTAGCGGATGGTGCGCAGGGCCGTGTCGGGGTGCACGGCGTAGCCCTCCTCGTCGTACACGACGCGGCGGTGCGCCAGCTCCTTCTCGTAGTAGCGCGGCAGGCGGCGCGTCTCGTCCAGGAACATGCCCAGCCCCCAGCGGCTCACGGACGGGCAGCAGCAGCAGCCGATCAGCCCCTTCAGCAGCCCTGCGCGGCCCACCCGTTGCACTCAGTACTCAATCCGTCGCGTCATTAATAGCGTGAGCGTAGATGGCGACATCCCGCATCGACTTACCCATGGGCTTGCGGGGTTTTACCCAACCAGGTATCTCCCACCAGCGGGGATAAGCTCTAACCACCCGACTGGTCTCCCGTCATGTGTGGTTATGTTGTCCATGGAAGTGCGTTTAAGAAAGCCGTGATGAAGGAAGAGAAAGAAAATATTACGCACGGCCTGGTCCGTCTGCTGGATACTGTTCAGCACCGGCTTTCGCCTGGTGTTGATCGCAGAAACCACGTACAACTACCGATTAGAATTCTTCTCCCGTCTGAAATCGACACATCAACTGATGTTTGAGCCACCTAAGCGGATGTAGATACATTCGTGTCCTTTGTCTCTCCAAAGTGATGCATCTTGTATCATTGTTTTCTAGTTTTGCATTTGGTAGTTATTACATATATTTTTAAGACACCTCTTAATTGTGTTGCTAAATTTTGTGTTCCAAAATTCCGTTTCTACTATGTCAAACAGATATCAGAAAACCTTTGATTCAATCTCTTGAGCAATAAAGCTAAGTGTATATACACAGGATGTGGAGGGATGCTAGAGGGACGTGGGACACATAAGAGAGAAAAAGAAAAAGGAGTTGCAACCCTAACGTGAAGACCACGAGACGCCATTGCTTTAAATTACTACTTCATTAAAAATTCTGTAAATTATTTTGTTGTCGTTAATTCGAGGTACTGAAATAAAAATTGAGAACATTACAATGTTTTAGATGCTATTTTCTTTCAAAATTAATCTATTTTCATTTAATAGAAGGTAATCAATATTTGACATCATTAGCAAACGCAAACGGAAACGCACTCCATTACACATTAACGTAGGGTGTAACGAACCTTGCTGTTAGTTTATCACATTACGGAGAGTAATAATACCGAATTATCCGTTGATCAAGTTGAGATCGATACTAAGTAGGGCCGTAACCAATGTAAATGTACTTATTAAGGTCAATTCCGCCAAAAACAAAAGAAAAATACAAACACACTAAATGAACGAAATGTGATAAAGGTGAAAAGTAATACTCGCAATAACACGATTCTACCCCTGACAACTTCAACTGCGTGAATCACTGGAGTACAAATTACAATTTTTGAGAATTTTCGTGGGACACTTTAGTTTTTCGAGCAAACTTACTGATGTGTGTAAACGTTGTTCGCCCCAAAATGTTAGTATGCTAAATAGAAAATATCCACAATATTGCATGCAGTTAATTTTAACACTTGAAAAGGAGTTGCCCATAGCACCCAAAATGTTATGACGAAAAGTCAAACATTAGTTTGTTTCTAACTCCACAAGGTCTTTCAGATCATCAAAATAATCTACTTGTTGAGGTTTGTGAAATATAATGTATGTAACTGAAAATAAAACCATGGCGTTTCGAAAGAATTCTGACGCATCCACATATCAACGATTCGGCTGAATTCCTACGCTCTATCGGTAGTACTTGTGTTTTTGAGACTGACGATTTTCCGCGGATGGAAGCGGATGAGGAGGAGGGGGAGAGGGGGAGCCGCACCGAGCGCCATGAGCAGGAAGAGGACGGTGGCGCCGAACAGCACGAACTGCATCCACAGGCTGGAGAGCCAGGCGGCGGCCTCTGCGGCGGGCGGCCGCTCCGCCAGGTGGTCCAGCGGCAGGTCGCCGTGCGCGCCCGCGGCGCGGTACGCGGCCACGGGCAGCGCGTGGCACGCCGCCGGCAGCTCCCCGGGCCCGCGCGCCACACCCACGCACGCCACGCGCACTTGCACGGCGCACGCGCAGCGCCCCGCCGCCAAACCACGCGCCGCGCCGCCGCCACGCGCGACGCGCCACCGCCGGTCCCGCTCGCGCGCTCCGTCGAGGGGGGCGCGCCGCCCGCGCCCGCGCCCACCACCTCCACTGCAACAGGCCGCGCGACGCCCAGCGTGGAAATACGAGTGCGCGGCTCAGCGCGACAGCAAGTCCCTCCGCTCTCAGCTGCGCCGCCGGCGGTGGACATCGCGTTACTTAAACAATTAGGGAAACACCCCCACGGAGGCGTTGACAACAAGACGAGAGTCCTGATACGTGTTGAACAAGCTACATTGTATTCAAATGAGAAAATACAATTCTATTACTACGTGGCACTGAATTTCATTTGTGGTTTAACACTAAATCTACACTAATCATACTTCTACCCTAGTGTCGCTTGCGTCCCATCACCTTACCGTCCTTCCCCGCAGTTTCAAAATCAGTATATGAGCTGCAGCTGAAAACAATCCTCCGAAAGTTTTCTTAATGTATGCAAAATACGATATTCAAAATAATTTCCAAAATACGATCTTCTTGAGTTAGTCGCAATGAATGCTTCTTGTGCTGTGAGGAGCTATAAAAGCAAATCTGAAGCTAGAAGTTTCGTTAAATGAATTAACGTTTAGCGCCAACAATATGCCTTTTTCTACATAAGCCGACGCTACATAGCATCCGTGAGCGGGGGAAGCTAATATTGAACCAGAGATAGTGTCCTGGGCCAGGAATAGACTGAAAAGGCTTCAGCTTAAACATCTTCCCAACCACATTGAACGACTCCATTAAATATGACATTTTTCACATGAAGAACTATAACTTTATTAAAAAATTAATATTTTATGAAATTCCTAATTATATAAACATTTCAAGCAAAGGATGAAACGTCAGTAGTTGAGCCGGGGTGAGAGTTTGCAATCGATGAAAACTCCAGTGGCACTGCACTGATCACCACATATATAAGCTTTTCAAAAAGTTATGTTTGCAAGAGGTATTGAAATTACGTGAGTGATAAGGTCAACAATTAAAAAAAACGAGAAAAATGACTTCGTAAGGGTTAAAGAACACTTTCAGATCGCCGTTCGGAACAGTTCCAAGAGTCGAATTGGCACGGTCCAAGGCTTAAAACTTTCAAATGTCATATTTGCTTTTACAGCTCCTCACTTCACAAGAAACATTCACTGTCGCTGTCTCAAGAAGTTCGTATTCTACAAACTACTTTGAATGTCGTATTTCGCAAACATTGTGGAAACTTTTATAGGGTTCCCATCAGCTGTAACTTATCTACTAATATCGAAGGACAATGTTATGTAGCGTCTGATGGGCCGTTGCGCGTGAACCGTCTTCCGCCAACTCACTCTTGTGCATTGGACCACTTTATTAATTTACTTATAGTACAAAAGAGCGCCAGCTAAGTTCCTCCGCACTGAGCCGAGTAAGAGCCTTCGATTAAAATTTGAATTTATGTTGGTAACGAGATCATTGGGAAACACGTGAAGGGGACAACACTTGCACAATGCAATGATTGTGGTAAGTACGCATTTTATATTTCACAAGCTGCCACCCGTTATACCAACATCATTTGTGTTGCACCAG